GTCTGGGTGGTGATTCAGAAAACCATCCTTTGTACTGGCTACAGGGTCCCATGACCAGACACGTGGTGGGTCCACACCGCCACCTTGCCTACTTTCCAAGAATTATGTGCAACTTCAGAATCCGCTGCCACAGAGCCTTATAAATCATGTATGAACGGAATGGAGGGAATCTTCCCAACTGAGAGAAAACCGTTGTTGGAAAAGATTTTGTTGTTAGTTCACAGTATTTATTGCCCACTCCACAATGTAAACCACTGTTTAGATGCCATAAAAGAAATACTCCAGAGGAATGGGCCCCGCACTCTCAGAGAGAGACTGTATTTTCAGTCAATGGAGAGTGCTAAGAACAAAAGCTATCTATCTCTACAATAAAGGAAGCTCTCATTCTCCTGCTTACTATTGCTAGGCGATGATGGCTCAGACCTTTTGCGAGGATGGCAATGTCCTGTGTCTTCGCTGCCTAACTTGGTAGTTACTAATAGGTGTGTCCACTGAGCAGTTGGAATGTGGCTAGCGCAACTGAGAAACACAAGTTTTAATTTTATTTAATTCCAACTAATTTAAATTTAAACAGCAGAGTGTAACTACTGCCTGCCATGTAAGCTGAGAAGCTATAGCTCAGTTGGTAACATTCACAACTAGAAGAGTAGCAGCTAATTATTGAACATTGTATTATATGCCAAGCATTGTATTATGCATTATATGCACTAATTTATTTTTTATTTTTTAAAGTCTATTTTTCTTTATTTCAGAAAGGGAGAGAGAGGGAGAGAGAGATAGAAACATCAATAATGAGAGAAAACCATTGATCTGCTGCCTCCTGCACGTCCCTCACTGGGAATTAAGCCTGAAACCTAGGCATGTGCCCTGACCAGGAATTGAATCATGACCTCCTGGTTCATAGGTCTACACCTCAACACTGAGCCACACCAACAGGCCTCTGTGCACTAATTTAATCCTAATGAACAACTCTCGGAGGCAATTACTAATATCATACTCACTGTACAGATGAGACAACGGATGCACAGAGAGTAGGCTCTGAGCCCACATGACAACTAGAGTAGGACAAAGTTGAATTTAACACCTTGGAATAAGGGCTCTAGCACCCTCAGTCTTAACCTGTGCACCAGCCTGCCTCTCCATAGGATGATGGAGAATTTATTAACAACCAGGTCATTGCTGCACGGGTTATGTCAATTCTTCTCACTACCTGATTGGGCAGAAAGGCAGGAAAACCATCAAAGCATGAAAAACAATTTAAAAATAGTAAACTCTTTTGAGGGCATCAGGGCTAAATAAATTCAGAGTTGTCCTACCGAGTCGCTTGGAATAATTGCATAAGGATGTGTCAACTCCCTTTGCCTACACATCCTGTGGCCCTCTGAGCACAGGAGAAAAAGAAATATTCCCCCTGCTTTCTACTCGGTGTTGTCATGGAAATGCAGCCTCAAACAAAGATGGTGCTGTTTTTCGCTCCAGTAATAGAGTTCGGCAATTAGCATCATCTTTATTTAGTCTGCAACTCCAGTCTGGAAGATCTCTTGAGAGAAGACCTTGAAATAGCTTCCCACAGCGCTACCAGACATCCAGAGAGGACTTCCTGGGAACGTGGTGAATGCCACTGATGTGCTAAACCTGGATACACTTTAAAAACAAAATCGGTCTGTTTAATATCCTGAAAAATGTATTACCGTGTGATCGCCATCACATCAACACCATATTGTGGGTGTTGATTATCAGGCAGAATCATCAGTAAGAGTTCCCGAACCTGGATGTGCATCAGAATCCGTGGGGAAGAGTGTTCAACACGTGTGACATTTTGATGAACATCAGGGTGGGGAACAAAGGACTTAAATTCGACCGGAGTATAAACTCAGGTGCCTTTCAAATTTCGTCTTGGCACATTTCAGGCCATAAATTGGATTTTGAAATTGGTCCTTCGTTCTTCCTTACAAAGCTGGTACTAACAGGTGGTAGTAACGGAATGTAAACTCGCCACGATGGCGACCGTGCTGCTGTCTGGAGGCCTGCGGTCAGGGGATATGCGCTGTGTTACGAAATTAAATGAAACCCGAGTGTGTCTAAATGTGGTTTCCTGAGTGGCTCCTCTGAGAGCACAGTACCATTTTGGCTTTAGGACACCGTTACTCTAAAACAGGATCAATACTAAGCAGGTTGAGGACTAGACAGGAGAGGTATTGATATTTCCATTTGAAAATCCGGCCGGGTTTTCAGACGAAAAATCAGAGGCAGGCAGATTACTTGGCACGCAAACTTTATTGTGGAGGGTACAGAAGGGGAGTGGGTACAGAAATGGCAGGGCAGAGGATCAGACTGGCATCTCCAAATTCTTTCCTAGAGGGAACACAAGCAGAAACATCCAGTTAATTGAGGGGACACCATGGCAACACCGCTGCCTACCATGATAACACCTCCCATGCTGAACTCTGGTCCGAGAGCTGTGCTTTCTGTGGTCCTCAACCACCATGCTACCCACTGAGTGCCCCGACGTGTCAGCATTCAGTCTGTGTGGCCTACACAATAGCCCCACACGCTGGTCCCCTACTCTACTCTGTTCTCCTTTATAGGGCGTCAGGTAGGAGCCCCCATTAGGGCTACTGTCCCTGCTACTTGACCCAGAATAAACTGACTAAGAATTCAGTACTCAGGAGGAGACTGGCTTTCTCAGGGGACGTCATTGCTCCCCCAGTTGGTGGCTCTGACATCATTGTTAAAGCCTCAAGAAAAGGTTCCAGTGGGCCAAGATCTCAAGACTTCTCTCAGTCTAGTGTTTCCTTATTTTTGGACCATTGAGAGAGGAGGACATTGCTGGTACATGATGAGGACCACCCAGGACTAAGCCCACACTGGAACCGGGGCAAGGTCTGTTCCATTCATTGGATGCACTGGTAGGCTGGTTGGCAGAGCCTCCCTGGGATACTCAGAAGGATGCAAAAATGATAACTTGCCTGGGACAATCGCCTGACTGTGGGCCAGTGCAGATGGTCAATGTGGTTGCACTTTTTCACCTGAATGGAAACAACAGCTCAAGTCTTAGTCTGGACTCTGGCAAACCACCGGGAAATGCAAATGCAAATGAAATTTGCAAATATGCCAGGAATGAGGGAGAGATGAATTAAGTCCCAGAACAAAAACCTAGCATTTTTTTAAGAGGTGGCCAACTTAATCAAATTTTTAACTAACACGGATGAGAAAGCCAGTGTCTTTCTACAGTCTTGCTATGATGCAGGAAGAGGGAGAAGAAACAAACGATGAAGCTGTAGCAGGAATTAGCTTTTCACATTCCTGGGAGAGGAAAGTGTCCCTTTTTAATGCTACCAAAGCCTCTTCTGGATTTGTCCTTTTCTTAGGTTTCCATGCCAGATGCCATCACTGTATGCAGAGGTGGTGTCTGCTTAGAGCCATCAGTATGTGACGCTTTGTGATTTTAACTGTCAACAGGCTGCGCTCAGTCCTGGATGTCCTGTAGGTCTTGATTATGTCAGTGGATTTCGATCACTTCTCAAGAGTTCAGCATTTCCAGCTCTACAAAGCCATGTTTTTTGAGGCAGGAGCTATACTCTTTAATTTTCAAACCATCCAAAGAATCCAAGAGTAGGTGAGATAGCATCGAATAGTCTCTTCTTTGAGGTATCATTAAGAGGGGGGGAAAGGAAAAAGAGGCCACATGTCCTATTCCAAAATGGCCCTGAAATCAGATTATGATTTTCAACTTAAAGCCCTGGAGGGCCTCGCTCATCTTCAGGAAGCAACTGAAGAAAATGACAGACAAATGCTGATTAGATGAGGATGCAGACAGAAACGCCTTGTCCAGTTCCACTCAATTTCAGAAAGATATATTGGGAAGGAGTCTGGCCAGAGGACCCAAGTGCGGGCATCCATTGTGCCACTCATTGGTGTGTGTCTCTGGCAACTTGCTTCACATCTCTAAGCCGGGTGCCTGCTATGAGAAGTGAGGACAATGAGATTTGTCTCAATGGATGGCTGAGCACTTTGGAAGGCTGCAGCCATAGGGATGATACGGTGCAATTATCATCCTGGTAATTGATATTGTTGTTGTTGTTATTAAATTTCTGAAAAGAACTATGCCAGGTCCTTTGAAGACTGAGATGAATAAGCCTGGCCCTCCTTGGAGTTCTCCTTTTGAAGTAAGCTTGAAAAATACCAAACTTCAAAGTATCAATGAAGATCTCGGAGAGGTTTTGTTAATTGATGATGTTGCAGTATCCTGGTCTCCAAAGTAAACCTAATGTGTTTTCGCAAGCAAAGATTAAGGGACTCTATTGCACTCAGTCATTTTTCTATCACTCAAGACAGATCCCAGAGCTGTTATTTGTACTTAAAATGCTCTTCGGCGTGCCAGCCAACCTGAAGTTACCTGTCGAAGTTAATCACATGGAGTGGTTCATAGATCAGGGGGTATGAGCCTGGCTGTCCTGCAGCAACCTGGCTGAGTGATGGATGGCCTGGCCTGTCAGTTCCACCAAGACAAAGGCTACTAATGAGCCATTACAGGACCCCAGTGAGCCATCTCAAAAACAAGGCTGGTTGTGCGGCTAGAGGAAAGGGCACCTGATTCCTGGGCAAGCTAGATGTCACCTCCCCAACTCTGATGACTTATGGTAGACAAAAATACACCCACCAGGAAAAAAAAAAAAGGAGAAAGGAAAGCCAATTAAAACAGACAAGCATGGACTAACAGTGCTACCCACAGCTTTTTGTAAAGCAGGGCTTTCATTGATGTGTTCCCATGCCATCTCCGGGGTATCCCAGCAAGGAAATTTGCTCCCATTTTATCCAAGAGGAAACTGAAGATCAGGGAGAATGGGACTCAGAGGTCCATGAGGCGAGTGAGCTACGCTACCCTAAGTATATGAGTCAGTGCTAGGACCCCAATCCAGTTTTCCTTATCCGTGGCCAGAGGGAAATAAACAACAGGACACACAAGGTCATAACCGATAACTTGAACCAACACTTACAGCAAGTGGGATGGGTGATTCCTGTCATGTTCTTCTGATTGCTTGGGTCAGCTCAGCAAGATCAGGCTTTGGAGATGTATCCTCCTCGGGCCTCTTGGTGCAAGCTGGGGTACTCTGGGATTACCCTGGAAGAGGCGGAGACATAAAGGTAATTGAAACCTAATTTTAAATTTGAAAAGAAAAAAATAATGAGAATATTCATGTGGATCATTAAGAGAAATGATTACCTTTGATTCCTAGAGAAAGTTATTTTAAAATGCATCCAAGTTCCATTGCACAGCCAAAAAAAAAAAAAGAAAAAGAAAAAAGAAAAGATAGGAAAACAAATCCTCGAAGCTGAGCCTTGTCCTTAGGAGGCAGAAACAAGTCACCATCACTTGAGTCCAGAGAAGATGCTCATTCACAGAAATTGGGAGGAGGGAAGACTGTGGAGATTAACTGACCTTGGTTTAGGACACACACTGTTTCTTTAAAAATGAAAATGATGTTTGGGGCCTAAAAGACAAAATCTGCCCTTAATGCCAGTCGCTAAGAAAATGCATAAATAATAATAATAATAATAAACGCTTGTTGATTGTGTTTTTACAGAAGTAGAAGCTATAGTCATTTAAGCAAATACTTAGGATCCATTTCTAATGATAACTTTGAAATCCCGGTGCCCTTTGAAAGAAAAAATGGTGTAGATAGCCATTGTCCACAACAGGAAAGAAGTAGAAATAAAACTTGATTGGTTTTACACGTGAGGTTCACTCATCAAAGGTACATCAACTCCACACCTGCAGACACAGCCCTGCCTGGCTGGTGGACAGTCTCACATAAAGGCAACAGCCTGGAGATGACACTTGTGACATCAGAGCTAAATGTTGCTTTTTCAGGGCGGCGTGTGTGACCTAGAGGTCTGATCTGGGAGAACACAATTCCACTTGCTGCAACTATAGACTTAGCATTTTCTCATTCTTAATAAATACCCCCTCAGGGATATTTACTGGGTATGTACCACATCCAAGGAAAGGGCCTGTGGCATGTGAGGATTTGTACTCCATTCCAAGCTCATTTTCTAATATTTGCCAGGCCCTTTGCTAAAGGTTCAGGGATAAAGGCAATGAAGTCCCACTATGTGCAGGCTGCTACCCATGTGTCTTGCCCGGAACATCTGCCTGAACACCTAATGCCTCAGCCGCACACTGCTTTCTAGTCTTGGGACACCATATTCTTTTGTTCTCCGGGTTCTTTCTGCAAACTTGTGTCCTGCGTTGAGTGCCCTTTCTCTGTGGCTGCCTGGAGTCCTTCATCTTTTAGGACCAGCTCCAACCACACCTCCTGGTGATGCTCTGTTCACATAGCTCAGCAGCACACACACGCACCTCCTAAGGGCCCCTCTGAATTATAACTGCTTACCCTGAAGTTTTCCTTCAGATCGGGGCTACCTTAGGGTATTGTCTGCTTCTGTCCCCAGTTCCCAGCAGTTCAGGGCTGACCAGAGGAACAGTACTCAACAAATGTCTCTTTGACCTCACTTGAGATTCTTCTTCCAGTTACTAAGTCCTGGCCAGGTGTGCTGTGACATGCTCACATGTAAAACTTGACACAAAGAGTTGGAACAGGAAGGATTTGTTCCTTAAGCATTATTAGTTTTGCTAAAACTTGTCCTTGTTTTCCGCTACCCTGAGGAAATAAATGGTATTGTAAAAATGAGACTGCACGTATTATAACCTAACCTATGGGCCACTTTTTCAAAAGTAATTTGGTCATTTGACATCATATACCTCCCAGTGAGGAGGAACAGAAATAATGTGCTTGTATTTTTTTTTAAGTTCATCATGCCCTTTATGTTTACTTTCATTTTTATATTCTTTCCCATCCAGATATTCATCATGATAGTTTATATTAAATAAAACTCCCACCCCTCAAAAAAAAAAAAAAAAAAAAACCCACAAAACTTGTCACACTTTTCATGCCTTTGAGGTATGGTGTGTGTGTGTGTGTGTGTGTGTGTGTGTGTGTGTGTGTGTGTCTTTTATGCTACAAACTAGTAGGAATTCCAGCCATGTGCACTTTCATCCCATTCTTTAAGTTCAACTGAAGTGGCAGAACAGAGATGGCAAATATTAATTGGTTTTTGAGGCTGCTGAGATTGTAAACCCCAATGAGAGAAATGATGGCATTTCACAGGGCTCTTAGGCAGAAAGAGATATGCCGAAAAGATTTATAGCTGCATTTATTTCTTAGGTGATTTCATGTCAAAGGTCAGGAGACATATATTCTTCGCTATGCTACACTTACAGAATTTCAGAATGGATTTTAAATTGAGGGAGTCTCCAGTTAACTAAGAAATATCACAGGGAATGTTAGGGAGGGGAGAGAGTCTAGACATAATGGAAAAGTTGGATGTACAGTTCCCAAAGTGTAGAAATGATGAAATGACCTCATGATGGTAATGATAGAAAATAAGAGATTATTAATGTTTTATAATACCATTTAATAAATGAAGAAAAGGTCAATTCTAGTATAACCAGTGTACTTGCTTGGAAGAACATACCTTGTGAAAAAATACTCAGGGCTAATAAATGTCCATATTTGCTGAATTAAACTCTTAAAGTTTTAGAAACCAGAACAGCATCCTCTGGTATGAAATTTACCTCCTAACAAAACAGTTTCCTGACCTGCTGATGAAGCCAGATAATTGGCCTTTTTTTTTTTTTTCCTTTCTTTCTTTCTTAATTGCATTTTAAAATAAATGTCACCAGATTGATAACACTTATCAGAGGTGTCAAATGTAGAAAAACATTCAGACAAAAGATGCAGACCATGTTCCTCCCGCTGCTGCTGGCCCAGAGTGTGTGTGGAAGTGGGTGTAGGGTATGGGGTGCGTTTTCCAGCAGCGTCAGGTTCTGCTTTGTGTCTTTCTGAACCTACTTCTGCGCAACCCCAACAAGCAGGCATGGGTTTGCTCTGTAGGGTGTGCCTTTGCTGAGGGGAGGGGCGAAACTGGTCTTGCTAGCAGGGTGGTATGGAAGTTCACTCTTGAACCTCTAGGTTTTTCTCACCTGTGTTGTCTCCTGAAAAGAACCTCCTAGAAATGGATTTGAACACACAACCTGAAGCTTCTTTTATGGTGCTCCCAGCTTTCCAGTCTGACTGTAACCCATACAAGGTGGTACCCTCCTTCCCTTCTTGCAACATACTTAACTTAGAGTAGCTTCCATCCTCCCTGGTTTTTAAGTAGCTATGTTAGATGTTTATCATGAATTTGTAAAGCCACCTCTAAATGGGCAGGAAGGGGAACACCTAGTCAACATCTGTGAAACAAGACAATCCTAGCAAAAAAGTTTACTTCTAAATAGCACATCTTAAAAATATATATTTCTTTACTGGAAGATTGACTGGGGACCACTTTCATCTTGCACCCTTTCAACCAAAAGGCATCCACTGAGAATGGAGCTAGCGAGAATTTTTAATGGATCGAGATTAAATCTATCGTTTTTACCTGGGGAAAATTCCTTCTCATTTATTCTGAGGCAGTCTCCTGGAAAAGGACTATTAAAGTGATGAGCTGCAGTGTTTTGACAAGCACTTGTACCGCAAAAACTTGAAATCTCGCTGGAATACAGTTATATAGTCACTGGGAGAAGAGAATGCCCTATTTATAAACTAGGACAGATCACGTTGATATGGAGAAAGGAAAGAACCCTGTGAACAATACGTCTGAAATTAAAGATGGAGGTGCTGGCATCCATCTAAAATCAACAGAAAATGTCATTACTCTTTGAAAGTACTCTTGTCTTAGAGTGCTAAATATATTAAAAAGAGCAAGATATTGTTTGTACTTAGTAGACCATTATAGAAACAGAGATGGAAGAAACATAGCAATGATCTAATAAAAGTTCCATGTTAGCCACATAGAAAAGAGAATAGCCACTTCCTGAACCAATATTTCCCTCTCACATGGTATGACCTCTCTGCCCCCCCCCCCCCTCGGAATCCCTCTAGAGATAGGTCTCTCTGTTTTATAAGCATAATAAGTTTAAAGGAAATCAAAAGAAACCTTTTATTCAAAGCCCACCATATGCTTTTAATAACTTTACTCCATGTTTTCCCTCTGTTTGGAATACCCTGCCTCCAGCTGTATAGGATACTTGCAAGTATTGTTTCCCCCTATGTTCTGGTATTGCTTAGGCTGAAGAAGAGAGGAAATAATTCAACCACTAATATTTTTCCATAGTGATAGGTAAGCATCAACGGTAAAACAGTTAGTATTCTTATGGCAGTTCATCCCATGTCCAATTCACACATTAAACCATTCACTGTGTTTGTAAAGCTATTAGTTTGAATATCCTTGGTATTTTTTGGTGATTCTTGGGTCTGGCTAATGTTGAGATGCATTTTTAGAGTCCTGTGGTCTTTTGTTGGACCTCTCCCATCTCTGTGCAATGACTGAAGCTTGTTCTGTGTTTCTCCAAGGCAGAACTAGCGGCCACAAATCATCTTCAACACATTATCAAGCTTAGCCAACAAACCCCTTTTAATTTTTTTTGTTTTTTTTGCTTCAAAGAACAAACCAAGACCATTTGGGATTTAAGATGGTAGGGACATTCATTGTTTTTTGAATGAATACATTTCTAGGAAAGTATAAATTTCTTCGAAAGTATTTAATAAAAATAAACCAGAACAAACCTTTTTCCAGGCTTGTGAAATATTGCCCTTCTCTCCCTCTAAGTTTTCAAAATTGCTTTCTAAAACTAGACTGTGGAAACATACATTTTTTAAAAAATCATCTCCCACCTTGGTAGTTGTAGAGTGTGTATCAGAATGAGCAGTGCTAATTCTGCAACAGTCAGCTACCTTTTCAGGAAAGACCAATGCACACACGCTCATACAGATGTTCTCCAGAAAACACATCAGGCATGTGGCTTATAGCAGCTCCTTCTACCAAACTTAGTTAAAACACGTTTCTTCACATATATTGTTGTACAGGCAAATCATGCAGTTTTCATGGACACATTTCTAATTCTCAGTAAAGACAAGCACACACAAATAAATAAAATTGGATTTGTCTTACCTTTTGGAAAGCAGGCAAAAGCTATACTGTTGGTGGGATAGTGTACCAAGTAACAGACTTTTGTACACTCTTTCTTACTGGTGGTATACAGTCTACAGGAAAAATATATAGGTACGTATAAAATAAATGTTCAAACAATATTCCTTCTCATTCTTTTGTTTTTTTCTTTTGGAGAAGAGGCTGCAATAGAGACCATAGACATCATGCCCACTCTTTCAGTGGGGTCACTAGCCTTTGGTAGACCAGTTCACCACAATTCAGGTACCTCTGAACATGGGAGTACTGGTGCTTCTTGGTTTAAGGCAATTTGGCTTGACTTGCTTGAGGTGGAGCAGTTGAGAGACCCAGCCCCCAAATAACTTTTCTGTCTGGTCAGAGTTGTTTTCTTCCTATTGACACCCCTTTTATCCGCAGCCTCTTCCAGGCATGCTGACCAGCCTGCATGGCTAGTCCAGAGGATGAAGCCAAGGACACAATGCTGAGAATGCTAGGGCTCTCACGAATGAGGAAGCAGCACATAAACAAAACAAAACCATAACAAATTTACACAGCACAGGCATGTGTTCCAGAATTTTCTAGACATTGTTGGTTGTGTAGTCTTAGATGTACATAATCATTTTACAACAGGTGTTTTCTGTGTACACTTAAAATATATATATTTTATTGATTTTTTTACAGAGAAGAAGGGAGTGGGATAGAGAGCTAGAAACATAGATGAGAGAGAAACATCGATCAGCTGCCTCCAGCACACCTCCTACTGGGGATGTGTCCGCAACCAAGGTACATGCCCTTGACTGGGATCAAACCCAGGACCCTTCAGTCTGTAGGCCAACGCTCTATCCACTGAGCCAAACCATACATTTTTAAATCAAATATTTCCTTGTATTGACAGTTCAACTATTCTATGTAATAATTACCTTCTGTGAGAAAGTACAAATTATTTATATATTTTACCATACATGCAAATGTGATAGTAAAGAAAAAAACACATCAGAATATAAAGTTAGTCCTAACTGGTTTGGCTCAGTGGATAGGGTGTCTGCCTGCTGACTGAGTGCTCTGGGTTTGATTCCAGTCAAGAAAACATGCCAGGGTTTTGATCCCCAGTGGGGGGTGTGCTGGAGGTAGCCAATCTTTCATCATTGATGTTTCTATCTCTCTCTCCCTCTCTGAAATCAATACGAAATATATTTTTTATAAAAAAAAATTAGTTATATGTAATATATCTTACTATAAATTTTCGATTTTAGGTGCAAATTATTCTTCTAAAATGTGCCTCACCAAGCAATATGCTTATCGGTTTAAACTAGTCTTGTACCTGGTGTCCTAGCATATGTCCAGCCTGTATCTCAGTGTCAAGTACTCAGTCACAGGTCCCCACATCCAGGAAGGGAGTGTGTCGCCAGTGTCCAACTGCTTGACATCTCAAGTTGTTACTGACCCCCCAGAGGAAACTTAACTCCCTACAGCCCAGGAACTTCAGGAGTTTTTCTGCATGGCCTGGGGATAATAGCTAGAAAATGGATGCTAGTTTAGCCCAAAAGTAGCTTCGGGCTCCCAATGGCTACCTTTACAAGGAGAATATCTGACCAGAGGATACATCACGTCTTCTAGTTCTGACCCACCCAGGTGAGAAGGCAGCAGGCCTTACCCGTTCATCTTAATACACTCCCGCTGCCTCAGTTACTGTCATCCGTCCAACTAGACAAGGGTCCTGGTGGCCATTGATAAGCCACATCCCAAGCACAATCAATTTGCCATGAACTTACATCTGCCTGGTGCCCGGCTACATGGCAAATTGAGAATGCAGAAGCCAGACCAGACCAGGTGCCCTGAGTCTTGGACAGGGACGTGACGAACGCATCATGGCAGCCAGGTCCAAAGCATTCCAAATTAGGCCAGGCTCTTCTGATCCTCTAGCAACAGAAACCTCGTTTGCATAAATAAAAATTCAGTAAGTCGCTGAGCTCTACCTCTCTCCCTCCTGCGGTTCTGCAGTCAGTGCTGAAACCAGCAAGCATCCCAATATCTAAGGCTCCTAGCGAGCAGATGCTGTGTGTATTCCATTCAGAGAGAGGTTTTTCTCTGACAGTAGCATGGTTAACAGAAGTAACCTAAGAGGAAAACCGGACCTCTTGAGGAAGAGCTAGGCGGTGCCAGGGCACTTTTGATTTCTGCTCCTGTTGAGCCAGCAGATTTGGTTTGATGTGGACACGTAGCTGCAGTGGCGTTGGATGGGCAGAAGCGGGCATGCACCAGGCGCGGTGGGGGCAGGGATGGAGCAGAGCTGCTGGAAATGGAAACACTGAGGGTCGAAACACGTTGCGACTGTGTGTTCAGAACAACCACAAGGAAGGGGGGATCTCTGTTTCATTCTTCGCTTTGTTGTGCATGCTAGAAACTGGACTTCTTCTCCAATCCCCTCCCTCAGAGAATCGTGTACAGAATTCCCCCTTTGGAAAGACACATTCCTTCTCTGAGTGCCTGGCCTGTGCTTTTGTTTTCTTTGAACCAGACAGCTCAATTTCAGGGAATATTTTCTTTGTCTCTGTTAGCAGAGCTCATAAATTTGAGAATACCAGAGCTGTATTTGACATTTAATAAAATATAGTGATAATGTTCCCTCACACCAGAATAGTCTGGTTATCTGTTTCATGAGTTGAATTTTCACTACTGCTCTTCCCCTTCACGTGTACATTTCTGCATTGTCAGGGCTGGGTGTCCAATTCTAATTGCTCCCTGGGATACCGCTGTTTCCTTATCAGTAGTTCCTTCTGGGTCATTTGAAATAACTATTTGTTTGCACTTTGGCCTCAGGTCAAATGTTTCATTTCTTTAGGTGAACTTTGCTTCAGATCATCATCACTGCTAAAACTTGGGGCGATGTTTCCACTATGGGCTCAAACTGAGTGTCCTAGAATGAAATGTCAGCCTGTTAAGAGAGATAATTTCTAGAGCTATGTTGTCCGATATGGTAGTCATAGCCACAGATGGCTATTTAAATTTACACTCTTTAAAATGGAGCAAAGTTAAATGTGTCTTTCCTCATTATGTGGCCACATTTCAAGTGCTGAATAGCCACAGGTGGCTAGACCATTTCCACCACCACAAACAGTTCTGCGGGGCAGACTTTTATCTGGATAAGGTCTTTACATTCCTCTTTGGGACCTTTGCCAACTGGGACATCAGAAACCCCAATGTTTGGAGGTACATGAATTTCCTCCCAAGGTACAGCAAACACCTAGTTAAATTCTTCATGGCGTTTAGGGAGTGTCTAGATCAACAAGTCCAAAAGAACTAAATCAGTTTTTCAAAATCTTCTGTACTGATTATGAGATAAAGGCTGTATTTGATTTATCTTTGTGTAGGCACCAAAACAACCATAATGACGAAAGTCAACAAAAGCTTTTCAAGGAAAAGGTGCCCAATGCATTCCAAATGGATCACTTATTGTGACTGACACAGGTAATAAGGTGTTTGGGTTTTGAATTAGTAGGACGAGGCCTCTACCCGGGCAGCCTTCTTTGAGCGCACACTAATCCTGTCTTTATGGACAACACTTCAGGCAATAATACATTTCACAGCACATTTAACTACAGAGTCTGCCACAATGCATCATTATGTTCTTTATATGCAAGTATTACCCACTGTGGAAGCCAAAAGAGTAAGTGCCGTGCTGGAATTACAGCATGCCACTCGCATCCCAAGAAACAGCAGCCAAGAGAAACAAGCATGGATTTGGGAGTCAAACCTGGGTTTCAGTCCCACCCATGCTGCTCACCTGATGTGTGACTTTGGTTATGTCACTTAATCTTGCTAAGCTTAGGTTTCTTCAGTAAATGAGAATAATAACCCCCATTCCACAGCTTTTGGGAGGAGTAAGATAGTCCACAAATGACATTATGCATAATGCCCATTTCAAAGGACAATTGAGGTATTATTATTATTATGAATAGTAGTAATATTAATAGTATTGTTAGTATTAGCATAATCAGACCCCAAACAGCTTCAATAGGGATAGAACCTAATCATTAATAGTTAACAACAGTAACAATGTTGTTTCAAGCTAATTATTTTTAAGTAGCATAATACAGAATTAATTGTCCAAATTAAAAGCTCTTAATTTGGTCATTTTTTTTTCAATATGTTTAGAGTTTTGACTGTATTTTCTGCTTATTGATTTTAGGCATGTCTTGATGTATGTGTGTGTGTACAGATAGAAATGTAAATCTTTACTAGGATGTCTCCAGGATAAGATTTTTGTGAAATGCAAGTTGACAAGGGGTTCTAGAATAAAACTCTGTGGACGTATAAATACGCAGCTATATTTGTTAATACAAGTAGACATATAAATAGATGCATAGGTATGTTCATTGAAATATTTCTTTTTGTAAATTAGTTTTATCTACTTCCTGGTGTTCAGTTAGCCTTTAAGTGCAACCAGCATTTCTACATACTAATACACATGGAAATGTACATTTAGGCAAATATTTTTGTTTTTCAGGAGTGGAAGGGAATTATTTAATTGCTCGATTATTTTCTAGATGCATTATATTTTATGACAGTTATGATATAGATATTAAGCTTTAGGAAAGCTCAGTGATTCTCAAAATCACACAGCCAGTAAGTGAGTAGCTTGGCTTTGAACCCAGGTCTGTCTCAGCCCAAAGCTTCTTCCTACATTACATTGAAACCACAGCAATCTGCCATCTACTTCTCTCCACTGACCATTTGCTCTGGAAACCCAAGGTCGGAGCCTGTCCATTCTGCCCATTCTGGTTCTCCCTTCTCTCAGGGTGATGTGTCTCCTTCCTCTCCCCTTGTCCCAGAATCTCTTCTATTGAAAAGTCAAAGGGAGGTCCACCATAGAGAAGATATGATATGAATTTTTAAAGCGTTGTACAATATTCACTAAACCAACCATTCAGAAATGGAAATATACCAGATCATGGCTCTTTTTACAGTATTTGTCAGGATCACACTCCACTGCCTCCTGGTTTTTAAAGCTCGCGCTCTCTCTCTCTCTCTCTCTCTCTCTCTCTCTCTCTCTCTCTCTCCATAAAGGATTGCTTCATAGTATTTAGACTAGAAATTCTTTTTGCTAGGCAATAAGCCTTTGGCTACAAGAAAATCAGCTCATAATTGAAAAATAGTATGTCTCGAGTGACTGAATGATAACCTGAATCCCCCTCTACATTAAAAACAGGAAGTATCATGAACACTTGTTTCTACTTCATTCTATATGAAACTGATCAAAATATTTCTAGAAAAAAATTCTAGAATTCTCCTTTTTAATCTGAAATTTACTATAATACCAGTATTAGTAAAATTAGCAATTGTGAATTCTATGCATTTAACCTCTGGATAATTTTTTTATGCCTACCTTATTTAGGTTCATTTGCAGGGGTGAACCAATTCTACCAGAAGTTACAGATATGCCATGTAGCATATCAGATCTGACATTTAATCTTTGATTCCACTCATGATATTTAGTTTTCATTGAATGGAACTCTCGTGCGGTGATGTGGGAGATGTCTTTCCCACATGAGGAAGCCATTCCCTTGTGGAGTCCGGGCCTGTGCACTTGGATGAAACTTTGCCAATGTTTTTGTGTCTAGAAGGCTTGCTTAGTAAAAGAATCATAGCTTTCTCTTCATTCATGTTCCAGTGGAAAGAAGTTAGGATTCTAAAACTCTTAAATATTCTAATTTCATTCCTGCTGCTAGAGATCAATCTGGCCTTAAAAGTTTTCCTAAACAGGAAGTTGTTCCCCTAACAGGAAAGGATCAATAAAGGTGTTTGTTGGAAAGGGTAGGGACCAGAGAATGAGAAGCAAGGGGCAGGGGAGATTTCCCACTTCTGAAGCAGTGCCTCCCACAGGGTGAAAAAGGAAAAGGGTGTTGAGACTAAGGCAGGACTCTTAGGAGAAAATGTTAGCATTCCTCAAGGCAACCCAAGTCACTGAACCAAGAATGGTTCTGGTGTTTCTTCCAAGAAAGGCAAGCACACAGCACATTTCCGAGAGCTTTCCTATGCAGCATAGGGAGAGGAAAGGAAGGAAGAGGTACTTACTGTTTGGATCTACGTTTTCACAGAGTTCTGTCTTTGCCTCACCGTTGGGTCTGTCACTAGGTTTGTGTGACAGCCGTGATGACATGGTAGCTGCTGTGACTACTGCCTTGAAGCTTCGCTTCCGTTTCTGGACATTGAGTTCAGGGTGGAAAATGATGATGTACACTTTCGGCATGTATAGCATCCCCAGCGCCACTGACGCACTTAGGTTCATGGAGATTGTAAGCGTGGTGGTTTGTATGTAGAGCTAGGAGACACAACACACAAGACACTATTACAAATAAAATGACTGCAGAGGGAGTCTTAACACTTAACGTGATGTCAAGAATGACGGTGGCTAGGAGAGAAAGCATAGCAATCTCCAAGGGTTTCTGATTTAAAAAAAAAAAAAAAAAAAAGCAAGACAGGATGACTCTGAACGTATATTGGAGAGTTTATGCATATTTTTATTGTTTGAATGCCATTGGGAGATCCATGTGCATGCTTGCCCTGAAGAAGTCTCCTACATAAAATTTCAGAGTAGATCCAGAATCGGATTTGAAGTACTTTTAATCAGAATAGCAACTGAATATGAAGACAGGCAGATCATGGAAATCTGTAAAACCTTGAGTAAGGGTTTTTATCCCCAAACTTACACAAAATGATTAAATTCTACATGGCCTGTTGATACACAGAGACTTGAGGGCCTTGTTTGAAAAGTATTATGTCAATATACACTGAGTGGCCAGATTATTAAGATCTCTGAATGCATAATAATCTGGCACTCAATGGGAGTGTGTGTGTGTACTAGAGGCCCAGTGCATGAATTTGTGCATGACTGGGATCCAGCCAGCCTGGCCAGGGGGAGGGGACATAGGCAGTTGGCTAGCTTGCCTGCTGGTCGAACTTCTGGTTGAGGGGACAATTTGCATATTAGCCTTTTATTATATAGGATATACACTGAGTGGCCAGATTATTATGTGTTCAGAGATCATAATAGTCTGGCCACTCATTGTATATGAATATATGCAATTCCATCATATATAGTGTTTCAAAGGGGTTCACCTTCACCATATCTACAAAGTAGTGACTACATTTCCCTGGAAAGTAAGCTCTTTTGCTTAATTCTGATTTTAAAAATGCCAACAGCAAGGGACCAAGATCTAGTTATGTTGGCTTGTCCAGTATTTTTACACTGACCAATTGCTAACAGGTAGCAAGATCTCCTTCTGGCATTGTTATTTGTGGTTTGGATAGTGACCAGAGCTATCCTTGTCTCCTCTGCTTCCTTGGAAATTCAGTTAAGCAACCACTCACTTACTATTTGATGTGTTAAATTCTTGTCTGGCCTACATTAAAAAAGATGAAGGTTGAAGGGTGCAGAGAATTGTCAGATTAGTGAGGGGAAAACTATAGATGACTTGGTCCAGTTGTGTTTATAAAGTGCCCTGTCATGATCTGGAAGTGCCCCCATGATACATTTGGTATATTTATATCTTACATGATTTATCAAAGCTATATGAAATGAGAGGTGATGGATGTGTTAATTAACTGGATTGTGGTAATTATTGTGCAATGGATCTTAAATCATCACATTGCATATCTTAAATATCATGTTCTATAACCTAAATATATACGTATTTAATTTGTCAATCATACCTCAATAGGCTAGATAAAAATAAACATCTTTAATTTGTCAATTATACCTGAATAGGCTAGATATATATAAACAAGTAGGCAGATAAATCAGTTAAGTTAAAAAATAAATAAAAGAGTGACTAGCTGCCATAGTCTTCCATGTTAGTGGGAAGCCTAGTTCCTTGAGAACATATTGGTCATCATTTCCAGCAACTTTGCCTTTGCATCGATCTGAGGATAAAATCCCTAACTTTAATGGAGTCAATGAGGCCACAAATCATCTGCCCCTTGTCTACTTTACTGACCAGTTTTTCACCACTGTCCCATGCCTCCCTCTCCAGGGCACCATCTGAAATGGGCACTTGAAGATGCTGTGCTCACTCAGCCACAGACCCTGTATACATGCACACGTGCAGTTTTACTTTATTCTTGTTTTCATTTGTTAGGAACATTCCTCCTCTGCTGCTTAGAGTATCCAGCCAGGCTGCCTCCAGGGTTGGCCAGCTCCTTAATCCTCATGCCCTCAACAATCTGTTTTCTTTATATCATTGGTTCCCATTTGTAATTATACTCCCTGATCATTTGACCATCTGTCTCCCCAATTAGGCCATAGCTCTAGGCCTGTGTGCATGGCGCAATTTGCGTCTGCAGTGATGGCAAACAGTAGGCACTTAATACATACATGATGAATGAGCTCAAGTGTTTGTATGATAGACACTTTTTCCTACCTATGGCTGAGTGGTCAAACAGCCTTTTCTCTAGATATACTGCAGGATTTCCATGTGACCTACTGGCTGCCTGGACCTTTCTGATCTTAGGATAGAACCTAGCAGATAGTAAGTGCAGCAAGTCCTCAATATTGTCAATAGGTTCTGCGACTAAGCAAAATGAAATATAAGGAAACCAATTTTACCGTAGCTTAATAGATGTACACAAGAGTCAAGCTCCCGTGGCATCTCATCAATGTTATAACAAAACGACATTGAGTGAAATGCTATTATTTAAGGGCCAGCTGTACCATGAAAGTATTGTAAAGTAAGTAGAAAGATTGGAAGGCTCCGGTCTACAAGGATCCCAGAGGTATTGGTTCACAGGAATCCAATCCCATTAAACCACAGGAGGGAAACTAAGTCACTGTTTCTTTGCTATTAAATGGGAGGCTCACTGTGAAGCTCTGAGTGTTCAGCACAGCTTCAGCTTTAGTACATTCCTTTAGCAAGTTGCAACACATTTGTTTTTAGCCTCAGCTGATCTGATGCTTACTATAAAATGCTTAGCTCTATTTCATCATGGGCATTTCACGTCCTTTTATTTCATCTTCCTTACTATTTCTTTAGAGATGTAAAGGCATTGGTGTCCACGGAGGAAGGTTTTCCCCACCTGGTCAGTCCCCGATGGCTAGGCCTGTGGGAGGGATGCCAGATGCCTTGTAATTCCTATGTGTATTAATAATTAAGCCTTAATTTTATCATCAACCCAAATGTTCCAGATCCAGCTTCTACTGCTTGGTTGAATGTGGTTTTCCTAATATTCATCATGCATAATCCAGTTCATGCAGTTAACGAGCTCCGAGGCAAGGGATTCAGAGTTCAGACAGCCAGGAGCTTTGCATAACATTCTTGAACGGTAGTTTTCCTGAAGTCTGATGCATGGAATGCAAGCACATATTTTCTTTATCTCTCAGTTTCCTTATTTATAAAATGAAGATCATAATAGTACCTACCTTATGAAGGTTTTGAAGATATAATTAATATATGAAGAGTGATTAGGAGAATGCCTTGGAAATAAGTACCCATGAAATGTCAGCTGCTGATATTTACTTCCTGGCTGATAAATATTTATTAGGTTGTGGGGGTGTAGGTCTCAAGATAAGGCTTCCTTTGTACCTACTTTTATATAATTTGAACTTTTTATGTATGTCTTATTGATTAACTAGGTTGTAATGTCTAAAACACCATACCTATTCATATCTTGTCTGAGTGAAGTATAGCAGCACATAGACTATTAGACTACATACACAGGTGTGTACTTGATTCAGTGCCACCAGGGTCCATCTGAATATGCTCCATCTATTTTCTCATTGTGAACTAAAAGTTTATTATCAGATACAGTGTGAATTCATATCATGAGATCCCAGTGTTGCTTTGTAAGTATCTGTAGTTGAGTTCTCCTTGTCTAACTCTCAATTTCAAAGATTCTAAAGAATTTATACACTTCCTAGATAGTGCTCATGAGCAAACGTTGAAATTTGCCAATTCTTCTAAGTAAGTTTCATAATCAGTTTACTTGAATATTATTTTGAGAGCTTTCAAGTCATGCTGATAATAATTATAATAGTTTCAAGTTTTAAACTTAAAAAATCAGAGTATTCTCACTGTTGTCCAAAGAATAAAGAGAAAAAGAAAGTAAAGAAAAATTCACAAGGCCTGTAGATAAATATAAAACTAGAACTATCAGGAAAAACCCAATTTCAGATTTTTGGGTACATCAAAATAGTCTCATCATTTCTAATGATGTCCTTAATAAAAAGTATGTACTATAAAAATTAATAATATATTTATATTAATGAATTACCACCTTTAATTTATAAAATTAGCAAAATTCTGAGACTATTTGGCGAGGTCAAATCATTAATATGAGTTAACTAACTCATGACCACCTGCTGTCCATTCCCTCTTAGTTGTATTTCAGACAGGCTATGTGAGTCACACCATACTTTTCCACTATTTATACATTCATTCACTTATCCACTCAGCATTTTTATTGAGATACTACCAAGTGACTGCATTGACCCAGGCTTCAGGCACATTGTGAAGACAGTAGGCATGATTTGCTTTGAAAATGGAAATTCATCCTGACCAGAATGAGGTATTAGGGAACAATGTGAGTACAACACCAAGTTCATGTTTGCAAATATGTGGTTTCTTCCATAAGAAACACTAGAGGAACACAGCCAGCTGCACCCAGCTGTGCGGGGATATATGAAATGCACACAAACACGCTCATGCCTCAAACATCTGCCAACTCCCCCCTCCCAATCCCCTCATGCCGCAGTTTCACCATGAATCACAAGCAGCAATATGATATGTTTGGCACCTGCTTCCATGAGCAAACATCAGGCTTTTTCATTTTTTAAGGTAAAATGCCCATTTATTGTGATATTTATATATTTCTTAGTCCTCTAACATGTATAAAACCAGGCTGCCATTTTTATTAGATTCCTACCCATTTTTACAATGTCACTGATGAGGTTTTTGAGTATGTGTCCCCAACCCACTTTTCCCCATAATTTCTGTGTTTATTGCACAATATTGCAGAGCACGGTGATTTTTAAAAACATGTATGTCACCTTATAGCAGAACTGATTGGACAATGGACACAATGTCTGTCACAAAGTATGTGCTTATTAAATCCTGGTTGAGCAAAAACTTCTATGCTTGAAGCAAGTATCAGGTATGATAAATATCCTTGGAATTCAACACTGTTTTAAGAAAAGCTCTTAGTCTTTTGTTAACTACTATTAGTGTGCCTCTGACCCTCATTCCTAGGGTGGAGATAATAGTACCTACAAGGTTGTTGTTAGCATCCAATGGGCTCACGATTGTAAAATATATACAAAGGTGCCCAGCA